GCTCCTCCTCCTCGCCGGGCCTCGCTGCGCTCGGAAGGAGCCCCGATGTCCGCGGGCGGCCCCGGGGCGGCTACTCCTTCCCCTTGGCCTCCGCGGAGGCCGGGGCCTCCCCGGCGCCCGCCACCTCGTAGGAGCCCTTGCTCCGCGAGCCGATGCCGCCGAAGGTGCCGAACTTCATGCGCGGCGCCTTGGCCTGGTCCGCGGCGGCGCCGCCGGCCTCGTCGCTGAAGGAGGACGAGCGGTGCCGGCCCTTGCGCCCCTTGAACAGGGAGAACTTGGACCTGGCGCCGTCTCCCGCCTCCGCGTCGCCCTCCGCCGAGCCCAGGCTCGTCTTGGAGCTCTTGAGGTCGCCCGTGGAGGCCGAGGCCTCCGGGGAGGCCGGGCCGCCCTTGCCCTTCTGCTTGGAGAAAGGGAACTTGGGCATCTTCAGCTTGGATCTCTTCAGCCTGGCCTCGGCGTCGTCCGGCTCCGGCTCGGGGAGGCCGGCGGCGGCCCCGGGGAAGTCCACGTCCACCCCGACCTCCCTGCCCTTGGCCTCCGCCTCCGAAAAGGCGAATTTCGGCATCCGCAGCTTGGGGAAGGAGACTTTTCCCAGGCCGCATTCCAGGCTCCCGGCCGAGGAGCCTCCCTCGGGGCCCCCGAGGGCCCCCTTGGCGCCGCTGACGGAAAGGGCAGCGCCGCCGCCCGCCATCTTGGGCCCTTGGAGGCTCACGTCCCAGTCGGCGCCGGGCGCCTCCATCCCGATCTTCGGACCTTTGATCTCCACGTCCCCCTGGGCCCGGAGACTTGGTCCTTGCAACTTGAGGCCGACGTCGGAGACACCGGGAGACGACGCTTGGAATTTCGGCCCTTTCACTTCCACGCCGGGGCCTCCCAAGCCGACGTCAACCCCCGAGCCTTGAAGACCTCCCTTAGGTCCCTCGAGAGCGACGCTCGGGCCCGATCCCTCGGCGCCGGGGCTGGACATGCTGAACTGGGGCAGTTTGAGGGACGGCAGCTTGATGGTGCCCCCCAGCACCTCCACGTTGGCACCTGGGGCCTCCACCGAGGCTCTGGGGGACTTGACGCCAGCAGAAACATCCAGACCGCCTTTCAGTTTTGGTCCTTTCAGCTTTACGTCCAAGTCCGGGGCAGAAACGTCCACCGAGGGCCCTTTGATGACAGCGCTCGGGACGCCGAGATCCACGCTCGCGCCCGGTGCTTCCACGTCTCCCTCCACTCGCGGGATGGAGCCTCCGAGGGCTCCTCTCACGCTCAGCTCAGGCCCCTCCACCGTGGCGGGGCTCAGCTTGGGCATTTGAAGCTTTCCTTCAACGCCTCCGATGTCAACGGCCGGTGCTCCCAGGCTGATCTTTGGCCCTTCCACGGAGCTCGACACGTCCAGATCTCCCTTTAGTTTTGGTCTTTTCAGGTTCGCCTCGAAATCGGGGAGCGAGACCTTGGGGCCTTTCAGGTTGACGTCGGCGCCGCCGAGGTTCACGTCAACCGAGGGGCTCCTCACGTCAACCGAGGGGATCTTCACGTCAACCGAGGGGATCTTCACGCTTCCTTCCACTGTTGGGGCTGAGATGTCCAAGCTCGCGTCAGGCCCCTCCAGCCCCACACCCGTTTTCCCCACCTTGGGCAAGGAGACCTTGGGGAATTGGAGCTTTCCTTCCGGACCTTCCAGTTCTACCGCGGGAACGCCRATGTCACCTTTCACTTTTGGTCCTTTCACGCTTAGGTCGAGCTCTGGCACCGAAGGAACGGACACGTCAATGGACGGTCCTTTGACACCTRGCGCGGAGACTTCGGGCGCTTGAAGCTCCCCTTCGATTTTTGGGCCTGCCGCGGACACGTCCCCTCTGAACCGGTGTGATTTCAGATCAAATTCCACGTCGGGGAAAGAGATCTTCCCAAACATGGGCTTCTTCCCCTTAGGGGACTTGACATTAGCGTCGCCTTTCACCGTCACGTCGGGAGCAGCGACGTTCACGTCCAGCTCTGGAGGCTTCACGCTGGCATCGAGGTCTCCACCGGCGAGGCTCACGTCGAACGCCCCTTTCTTCCCCTTGACTTTGGGCCCGCTCATGTGAAGTTTGGGCATCTTGAACTTGCTCTTCTTGCCTTTTCCAGCTATGTTGGCGTCGGGAGACTCCACGTTCACGTCCACCTCCGGGAAGTCCACGTCCACCCCCGGACCCTTGATTTCCGCCTTGGGACTTTTCACCCCAAACCCGAACTTGGGTTTCTTAAGCTTGGGCATTTTGACGTTGGCCTCCAGGCCCTCGACGGTCACGTCGGGACCTTCGACGTCGACGTCGGGGCCCTTGACCCCCAATTCCGGGACGCCGATGTCGACTTCGGGGCCCTTCAGGTGACCTTCAGCCTTGGGGGATGTAACGTCGAAGCCTCCCTTGGTCTTATGGCCTTTCAAATTCAGGTCGATTTCAGGCATGGAGATTTTGGGGACCGTCACGTGCATTTCCGGCATCTTCAGTTTAGGACCTTTCACTTTCCCTTCTGGCCCTTCCACACTTACATCCGGGACGCCGATATCTACCTTGGGCCCCGAAAGGTCAACCTCTGCCTTTGGCAGGTTCACGTCCACCTCAGGGCCTTCTCCTTTAAAGCCCGGCACGGCGAATTTCGGCAGCTTCATTTTGGGCATTTTCAGCTTCCCCTCCGGCCCGTGAACRTCCACGTCTGGGCCCTCAATATCTATTTTGGGGCCCTTAACCTCAATTTCAGGAGCCTTCAGATCCGCCTCGAGTTTCGGACACGGGACGTCGACGTTGCCCTTCAGCTTCGGTCCCTTTAGGTTGAGGTCTATGTCCGGCATGGAGATCTGGGGGGTCTTKACGTGCAGCTCCGGCATCTTGATTTTGGGCCCTTTCACCTTGCCCTCTGGCCCTTCGATGTTAACGCTGGGCGCCTCGATATCCAGCTTGGGGCCTTTGATGTCCATGTCCGGACATTGCAGATCCCCTTCCAGCTTGGGCGCCGAGATATCCAGGTCTCCCTTCGCCTTGGGGCCTTTCAGGTGAAAGTCAACGTCGGGCATGGAGAGCTTGGGGGCCTTGATGTGCATTTCTGGCATCTTGAACTTGGGGCCTTTGAGATTCCCCTCAACGGTCACGTCGGGAGCGTCGATGTCTACTTTGGGGCCTTTCACGTCGATTTTGGGCGCTTTCAAGTCTCCTTCCAAGGTAGGGCCGGAAATATCCACATCTCCCTTGAGCTGAGGCCCCTTCATGTTGAGGTCAACATCAGGCATGGAGATCTTAGGCGCCTTRAGGTGCATTTCAGGCATCTTAAATTTGGGCCCTCTCAGTTTTCCGTCCACGTGCACATCGGGAGCCTCCATCTCGACGCTGGGGCCGGAAAGGTCGACGTCGCCCTTGGGCAGGTTCACGTTCACGTCCGGCCCCTCTCCTTTGAAGCCAGGCATGGAAAATTTGGGCATCTTGAATTTGGGCAGCTTGAATTTCCCCTCCGGGCCTTCGATATCCACGTCAGGGGCATCCAGGTCCACTTTGGGAGCGCCGATGTCAACGTCGGGGCCTTTCAGCTCGCACGCCATCCCTGGCGCCGACACGTCCACGTCCCCCTTCACTTTGGGGCCCTTCAGGTTCAGATCGAAGTCGGGCATGGAGATTTTGGGAGCTTTGAAGTGCATGTCGGGCATCTTAAACTTAGGGCCCTTCAGCTTCCCCTCAGGGCCTTCAATGTCCAAGTCGGGGGCCTCGAGCTCAACTTTAGGGCCTTCTACATCAGGAGCAGAAAGTTCCACGTCCCCCTTCAGCTTGGGGCCCTTCAGGTTGAAGTCCACATCAGGCATGGAGATCTTGGGTGCCTTGATGTGCATTTC